TCTTATTAGACAATAGCTGAATGATGGAAATGAATTACAAAATAATTCAAAATTTTTATATTATGTTTATATATATATATATAAAGTAATTATTAACAAAGAAGTTTTATTTATATTTCAAAATTTTGAGAAAACAGTATGAGAATTTTTATCACAATCATTTTTATCGAATAGTTTTAATATAAGATACAGTATCCAAAACAGGAAAATAGTGCAAAAAATGTGTTAGATAATCACATTCATCACAAAAGATTAATTGTTTTATATTAGCACAGTTGTGTCGTGTTGCATCTCTTGTAAAGTTTTTTGTAACATTTTTCAGATGAGAATAAGATAGTTTTAATTCCGTCAAACGAGGTAGATGAGTTTTTGTATTAAGTAAAAATTGTTCAATATAATATGGATTCTCAACCATCATATTAAGTGAAATAAGATGAGGAAATTGAATAATTGGATATGATTGAATATAATCATCTTCGTATTTATTAAAATCTATTAATGACAACAATCCACTGGAAATAGTAAAATATTTCAATAATGGAAAAGCTTTAGCAATTCGAATGAAGAATTTATATTTGAATTGAACCTTATCAAACACCTGCAAGTAAGTAACATGATGGAATATAATAGTTGGAAATCTATTAGTGATCATTTCAAGACGATCAAATGTGAATGGAAGTGAGAAAACATGACATATTGCTTTGGATGCACGATAATAATTTACAGTACAAGATGTTTGATAATAACCTATATTTGTAAAAGTTTGTTGTATATCATTATCAACTAAAAGTTGAAATGAATCATTATATGGAATTATTGAACTAATATAAAAAGTAAATGTATGAAGTTGTGACATATGCATAAGAATTTCCTTATGTAAATGAGTACCATCAACAAATGTAGATCGATTTGCAAGACGAATATATAAAGTCAATTTTTTCAAATTTTTCATACGACGAAATAAAGGTATTACTCGATTGTCATATGCATTAGTTAGATTATAACATGTTAATGAAAAACATTCCAAATTAAATAGATCATCCTAGAAAATACAAATATATATTTAAAAATTACATCTAATTATGAAAATATTTATGTAAATTGTCGATCAAACACTTTATTCATGTTCAACTATTTAAAGTTTTTCTTATATTTAATCTAAACATATAGATTTTATGGAATATAATCTAAAAGGAGTGTTGAAGTATATACAAGTAGAATAATTTGAACACTCTTCACTGACATTTTGACATGCCATTAGCAAGAATCATTATCTTAATGACTAATTGGTGAATGGAATATAATGAGAAAAGTGAATCAAATTCCTTCCGCTACACAAATCGTGGCGGGTATTTTAGAAATTTTGTCTTCGCGGGTATGACTAACATCTAATATCGTGCTTCACATGTCAATTCTATAAAGATTGACACTATACAATTCTTTTTCAATAATGACAAACAAAACAATTGATATACGTTCTCTAAACTCTCACTATATCAATTAGAATATATAAGAGTAAAAGATCTCGAAAATTTTTTCAACAAAAATCATCATTTATTAAAAAAATACTTAGATAAAATTTGAATCGTTTTTACTACATTATTTAATCATTCGATTAAATAATTATATTGAATAGATATTAACACTGAAAAAGTCAAGTGTTATATTCTATTTTTACTTGTATAAAAAATAAATAATGCATTACATTATTGATCTATTCAACGTTCTAACAGACAATAATCGTTATGTTAAAAAATAATTTTAAAATAAAACTATAAACTTACAGTATTATGAATAATCGATAAATTATTGTGGATATTTTTTATTTGAACAATGAATGTAGTTAATTGTTTAAGATGACCATCAAGTAAATAAAGACAATCATCTAAACTATTTACATAGATACATAGTTTTGTAAGATTCAAAGAGCAAAAAATATTTAATGGTAAATTAAGTATTGATAATGGTGGATAACTGAGCATGGATGATCCAACGATACTTAAAGACTGAAGATTTTTGAATAAAGTCAATATAGGTATATATACATTTTTATTATATTCTTTTGATGATATTATTCCTTCTTCGTAATCATAATTATCATTATTTTCAAGAATAAGTTCTGTTATTTGATATTTAAAAATATGTTGAAAGATTGATTTATCTAAACAAAATAAAACAAAAACAAAGAATCAATCATATTATACATCTAGTTTTATTCAAATGCTACTATTTATCTTAATTTTTTTCATTTATGAATATTTACCTGTAAAATAATTTAAAGCGATATGTTCTTCGAAATTAAACAATTTGAGTGAAGTCAAATTTGGATAATTACTAACAAGAAGAATACGTTCCATAGACGTTGGTTCAAGAATAAGATATTTGACATTATGATGAATTTTTGGTAATATATCAATACAAAAACGATCAAGTATTCGATTATCAATTGAACAAATATCATCATCAGTTGACGATCTTGAAATAAGATTGAGAGTATTTGTGAAAATATTATCTTGTAATAGAATATCAAATTCTTCATTGATGATACCCATTAATGAATACAGTACATTTATATTGTCAAGTCTTTTTAATATCGTAAGCAATATCTCATTTGGTAGATCAATAAGATGAATATTTGACTTATTCATGTTTCATTCGAATGAATAATTCTTGCTACATGGAAACATAACTATATATATATATATATATGTCTATTTGCTTTATAGGTGCTGCCGTCAGTAAACAAAAGAATAATGAACTCTTTCAGGGAAAAATGTAAAATGAATCTATCGTCCAGTTTGTTTATTAGGTCATCAATTAAGAACATTTATGTAAAAAGTCACATTTTTTGAACGTGATGAGGAATTTGAATTTGCGGGAAAATTAACAACAAGCCAATCACAATCATTATAACATAAACTGAAGAATAGTCTTATATGCCTATGAAAATATAGAGGTATAAGAGGTTCAGAATCAACATGAGAAATATTTAAATCGAGAAAATTCTCATATGGCATGATATCCATTATATGAAAAATTCAAATAGAACCACTGTACACTGATGATAGAAAAGAATATGAGATATGTTTTTCGGCTTCACTCTTTGAGAGATACGCCCGTATGTGTAGTGTTTCAAAATTTTTCGTATAAGTTGCCTCATGTTATGAATACTGGACCATTTTTAGCGGTAAACCACGGTATAGTACCATATTGGTATAAAAAGATGAAGAAAAAAACCAGTGTCGCATACTCATGATTGAATCATGTATTTGATTATTAAAAGTATTGAAATTTTCATAGTATCTACTTTTAATAACAATATCATATGGTATTAAATGGTTGCAAAAAGAAAAATTGGGTATTTGCGTGATTGAAATTTGTATTTAATCTTTAAATAAATTTAAATTAGTTATGTACTATCTCTTTCTTTTAATCATATGAGGCCTAGTAGCAAAAAAGTTAAGAATTAATATATTTTTTTTTTATAAACATAATATCATAGTATACTGGTATTGATAATTATGATAAGTAAAAGAATATACAGTTGCCATAAAAATTGATTTGTAGCACGAACAATATGATAAGTAATCTGCTTCCGTTCGTATTCTAAGTGTTATGATCTGTTTAGACATTTTGTTTGTTCCTAACCTAAGTTTCGATGTTCAAAAGTTCGTTCGTATCAAGGTTGCTTGGTAATCCTAATGTTTTTGGTATAGGATTTATTTATGATACCTTCCTGACCAACTTCAACATATTCTTGATATTTTTTAAAATGTTTCTGTGAAAATATTTTGTTGTGAAACACTTGTAGGTATAGCGGCTATTTAACGCAATTGACTTTTAAAAGAGTGATAGCAATAGCATTAAAGAACCTTAATGACGAAGCCACAACTATAAGGAATTTTAAAAAAAATCAAAACGTTTTCTGAACCATAATCTTGACCTGCGTTCGAGAGAATGGATTTTGCACAGTTGAATATATTTACAAAAATTCTTTATAAAGAAAAATAGCTATAGCAGTGTTAATAGCTGTATGAAATTTTAAATAGTTAATGAAAACTTTAGATAGCTGTGGCGTTTTAAATAACTGAAACACTCTCAATAGCTTTAGTTTTTTTTAAATAGCTGTAGCATTTTCAATAGCTATACGTTTAATTAAAAACTATCTCTTTTGGGAAGCTACGGATTGATTAATATAATTATAAACAAAGTACAGTATTTTAAATTTAATTTTTTTTCTGTAGAGTTCATAAGATTTCAGTGAACGCTAGTTATACTTTGTGTTGAAATGCATCACATATTTCGATAGCTATTTTATTTTGAACAAATATACAACATGATTTTCATTTATTTGTAGGCGTCGTCTAGTATGTACATTTGAAAATGTCACGTGTATTTTTAATATTGATGGGTTGGATCCTGTCAATAAGGCCTGTCCCTTACATGCGACGTAGAAGAAATTCATAAAAAAGGAATTCCTAACGATAAGTCACTGTTTGAATCTAATTATGGGTGTGAGGTTTTAGTTTTTCAGATCCATATCCACACCCTATTATCATACAAAAGTGCAAATAAATAAACAACAAAAATGAAGTTTTGATTAAATTCATTTTCTGACCGACCTCTGACGGAGACTCCAGGTAAGATTTTCGACAAAAAAAAAAGTCTGTAAAAAGAAAAAAGCTAAAACACATAGAGGTTGCCTCAGTTTTTTATGCTGCTTCCAAATATCTTATTAGTTTTGAGTCAAACTCAACTTTTTCCGATGAGAATCTCTTGAGAACTAGTGGAACATGCAAAAATATGGGATTTCAAAAAAGTCAGATCGTCTTATTTAACAAAAATTACTTCTAAAAAGTTTGAAAATATGGTATTTTGTAGTCCTTCTTTTGAACTGTAAGAATTAACCACAAACCCGTTATCTTGTTTTCGTTTCTCGAGATATTGAGAAAACAATGAACAAAAGTGCATATAATTGATAAGAGAACTGTATGGTTTTTATATCGACTCCGAATTAGCTTTATACTATTACTCAGCAACACTTCGACTGTTGGAGCTGAAATTTTTACCAGAGATAGACTGTGAGATAGGTAGTCATTTGGCATAATTTTCACGTTGAAATAACTTATTTGGGAAAAACATACATGTCTAATCGTTTTGTGTGTGCATCATGTATTTACGACACAAAAGCGAATAGCAATATTTCAGGCAAAAGTCTCTCAAAACTCTTGAAAAATAGCTTTATTTTATCACCAAACGATTCCTCGCAAAATTTTGCATCTAGTAAACGGTGAACTGATCAAGATTAAGGATAGCCCAAAAGTGGTTCTTGTGTGCCCCTTCTTTATTTTGTATTCGTTTCATGTAGATCAACTTTCATCTTCATTGTTTCGGAATAAGATACAGCACAACAAAACAAAACGTGCATCATCGTCTATATATATTTATTTTATGGTTTTTTTTTTTAATGAGACCTTCTCTAAGGAAAATGACAATTGAGGGTATAGTTCATTTGTAGATGAATGATATATTAATCATATGCTAGTGATATAACTCATATAAGCAATATCTTTGAATCAGCTTGTTCCTTGTTCTAGTGCTTGCTAGTAAAATTTTAAAGAATCGGATTTTTAATATTATGAAACTCAGTAAGTTATTTCACCATTAATAGTTCCCAATATCAAAGGACAAAATTATTCTCATACTTGACATATAAATAAATAGAAATAAATAGAAACTTATCTTTTTATAGCGACAGATTAAAAACCTATCAGATTTATAACAAACATCAGAGATTCTCTTGTATCTAACAATGAGATTGGCAAATAAAATTATTCATTATGACTAATATGAATCTGAATGAATCTGAAACTATAGGAGAAATCAATAATTAGAAGCGATATTTTATTTCAAAGATAATATTCATTTTAAAATAATCGAATAAAATTTTACAAGTCAAAAAAAAAAAAAGAAAATTTCTCAGATTTTTCTTCAACTATTTCCTTGTAACAATGAAACAAAGAGCTTAGTTTCTTTCTCGGTCATTTTACTGTGGTTTTTCAAAATGTTGAATAAAATGAAAAAGGTGGTGATGATACTACAAAAAAAGAACGTAATATGAATAATTTTTTTTTATTCTATGTTACCAAGCTCACAGATCAATGTAATCATTGATAAAAAAAAAGCATCTTTTGCTTGGTTTACATCTATTTGGTATAAACTAAAAATAGAAATCTAATTTCTTAAAATCTGAATGGCTATCATCAAATTTGAAGATTATTTGTAGAGACAAAAGTCGAACACACTGCAAAAAAAAACAAAAAGTTCATTTTCACAGAAATGAAAGCTAGATTTGTAGAATAAAAGGAACTATAAGATCATATAAACAATGTCATAGCCACTCTTACGCTAATGTTATATTTATGATATAAATGTTGTTCTTTTTTTATTGTTATTAGTGGTTTGTATATAAATACCGGTACAAACTACTGTATAAAAATAAGCGAAAAAACGTAAAACTACTGAAGCTATTATTAATCACACATCGCTCTTCACTAAACCTCTGCTAAGATGAATTTTTTTAAAGATTTTGGGCTTCTATACTACTTATCATCTTTTGTTTTATTTCTCTTATTGTGTTTATTGTTTTTTTTACTGTTATTATTTTTATCATTTATTGCTTTATTACTTTTTTTGTTTTTATTTCGTATCATCTTATAATCTTTAATTGTTATTGTGGCTTTTATTTTTTTATAATTTTTTGTGTTAAATTTTTTATAAAATTTTGCGTGAAATTCTATGAAAATAAAATTGAAAATTAAAATAAAATTGTCATTCTCTTATCTGTAGTATCTTGGCCGGCATTAGTCGTGACTAATCGAATTTCGAAATGAACTAATCATAAAATTCCTAAAGTGCATCAATACACTTTCTTGTACGCTTGATATATACATGTATGTATCCTCTTTTTTCTTTTTTTTTAAATAGGCTGAAATGTCTATTTTATAGATATACATATATATACTATGATACGTATAAATATTCTTAGCTCAATCGACATTTCTTATCAGTACAAATGGCTAATTCTTCTGCATCAGGTAATGTTAAACAAGAAGTTATTTCTCTTCATGGGTTTTCTCATGAAGTCTGTGTTGCTATCACACAAACAAAATATTGGCATGAGGTATGTTTGAACACTAAAAAAATAAAAATGAAATAATATACGAAAAATTTTCTTTAGTTAATAAAAAATTCAAGCATTTCGATTAGATATACTGGTAATTATGTACCGGTGCAACTGGGATCAATGCAATGATGAAAATGAACCAAGGCTTCAATTGATAATTCAAACGCACCATCGAAAAGATAATGATCAATTTCATGGTATGTTATTAATTATTAATAATTGAATTTAAAAAATTTTCTTTTTAGTTGTTTGCAGTAAACTATATAATGATTTAAATGCATTTGAAGATAATGATAAACCTACCAATAATGTAATTATTTATTTTTTTCGTGAATGAATATTTTAATTTATGTTTGAATATTTTAGTCTGATTCACATCAAATGATAGTTTTTGGTTCTTTATTCAATAGTCTTTCTCGTGATATATTCGATACTGAACGATATTTATTAGGTGAAAGAGTAAGTGAATAATATTTACATATAACTATCGATTAATATTTATCATAATATATTTTTCTGTAGAATTGTAATATTAAAAAAATAGCAAATTCATTGGCTTGTTATATTTCTGTCGATTCAATCGGTGCACAAAGATATCGTTTTACAATTCGGTAAGTTTAATTTTTTGGAAAGTTTTTTCTACGAAGAATGTTTTAAAACAATCTATTAGTTTTCATTGATGGTTATATCGATTTTCTTTTTTTAGTCATGATGAACAAATTATCATGGATCTTGCTGCTATTGAAATTCAAGCACTTGTAAAACAAGCACATGAACATTATATAATGAGCTATGCCAATAAAATTGGACAAGCTCTAATAAGTTCTAGAAAACGAAAGGAAACAATAGGTACTTGTAAATTTTTTAACTAATAGAATAATATTTTGTTGAAATTAAAATTTAGATATGCCATCGTCAAATCTAGAGGAATCGTTACCATTTCAATCTTCTGTTGAACGAGTATGTAAAGAAAATTATCATTGAATCTATGTTAATATATATATATTTTATTGCTAGAAACGTATTGAAGATGAAGAAGAGCAACAACAACTAATTACAGATGGTATAGATTAAATAAATTTTATGAAAATTTGAATTATTCTTATTTAGGTCCAATGATCATTGTTCCTGATCATAGTGATGATGAAATGATATCCGACGAAACACGGTATGAAATTAGAGGCTTTGCTTTAAATTCTACTTTAAATAATAGATCAACAGGATGATCGTAATCATAATTCATCTCATTTATTATCCCTTCTAGATAATTTTTTTTTCTTGTCAAATTATGAAACTCATTGAAATAGATATGAATATTAGTAGTATTAAAACTTTAAAGGAAACAAAAAAAAAATAGAATATCTAATTGAGTCTTTCATTTTTATGAGCACTTCGTATACGCTTAATGTTTATGACATATGTGTTATAAGGTATTTGGTAGTCTCGGATTGATTGCTGTGAAAGAATATAATAAAATTGATATTATTGACTATAGAACTTACTATTGATATTAATTTAATTATATGGATTACTGAGATATAAATGCGTAGATCATATACAAAAGCTGAAGATACATGAAAAAGCAGTACTAGGATATTATTTTGATTCTGTTTTGAAAAATCAAAAAAACGGCATAGAGTAGATAAACTTTGATTTACCTAATTAACTAAGCATATGATTAATAGAATAACTTTGCTCAATATTTTGGAACATATAGTCCTCATTTTCTTGTAGTACAGTCGAGTCTTATATTAAGAAGAATCGACTTTATAAAATGTTTTTCTAACTGTACTATACAAAAAGATCCGATTAGATAAATATGTGAAAGTTGTTTTCGAAAGTTTTATGATTGACTCAGAATCGAGTGAATTAGTTATCTTAAAATGGAGGTAGCTAATTCAGATATTTTTTTTTTAAAGAGAACAATTTTAAACTGTATTTATTAAGAGAGAAATTATTTGTGTTAGTATAATCTGTCTCTATAAATGAAAAAGAAACATTCATTTCATTGCACATAGTGACAATTAGTGAATATAACTATGAAATCATAGGATAATGATTTCTATAGACATTTTCTTTTCATTACTATTATAAGCATTGAAGAAACAAAATCTGATAATAAGAAAATTGATGTCACATATAAATATAAAACTAACCATATGTCATTAACAAATAGATTTTTCCAATGATAAATGTCAAATGAGAAATCTAGATAATATTGTTAATTGAACAAATTGAATGTGCAATAAATCAATGTAGAATTATAACATATTTTACTATTGTTAAATTTTTATAAAATGAAACATTTTATATTTATTTGTATTTATTTAGAGAAGAATGTCTTGACTACGTTCAAATTCTTGTTAATTGTATATGTGAAGGAATGCAAACTCGAGTATCAAAAGTTCAAAATGCAAAAATTCATGAAGATTCCAGTCAAATAAAATCTTCTTTTCGTAATATAAGTACATTAAATACTGCTAGCAATGGTTGGGAATTAGTAGTTAAATTAGTTCAACACGAAATTGATTTATGTGCACGTTTCATCAATGAACAATTACCCAGGTCCAATAAAACGGCGTCGTAAACGGCCTGAAACGGCTATAAAACGGCGATTAACGATGTAAAACGTCGATAAACGGTGGTCGTAATACGGTATGACGGATTACGGCGAAATAAGGCCAAAATTACTGCAGTAATTCGCCGTTTTATAGGCGTTTCAGGCCAGATACGACGCCGTTTCCGACGGCCGGAATGATTCACCTGAGTATGTTCATTAGATTTGTATAAACAATTAGAAATTAGTGCTGATTTACGTGATTCTTCAGAAACAACTGCTGAAGCAGATGCTGATTTACGTGATTCAGAAACAACTACTGAAGCAGATGCTGATGAAACATCAACAATCGCCAACACCAACACCTGCACAGAACATATTAAACTTAAGATAGAATGTATTCAAGAAGATAAGTGAATGGTCAAACCAAAAGATCAACACAAATAATATGTATTTTTTTTAAAATTTTCTTATTCTTTTGGATGTAATTTTTTTCTAAGAGAGTAAATAAAATTGAATATATTTATTTTTTTTCATTTCTTCAATATATAGAAGCTAGCAAATAAACCTATAAATATTTCATTCAATGTTTTGTATTTCATTGCATCCATAACTTCTCAATAGAGATAATTTTTAATTAAATATTCTTCTATTTAAACAAACCTTCATAGCTATTGCAATACCTGGATACCTATTTACACATCCTCATAGCTACTCAAGTCGAGTAATTTTAATCAAAAGATTATCATTAGGTTTGGAATGAGATGCATACACCATTCTATTTGTATCGACCAACGTCGTTTATTGAAAAAATGTGAAAGTACCATGTATTACCTATTCGACTCAGACATCATTTATCGTAAGCTATTCGATTTGAATCATAGATTCAGCCTGATAAAATTGAAGTTTTGAATACAAAAATAAATGATTAAATAAACAGATGAACAATAAAAAAATTCTTAGGTATCTAAAAGACAAATTTCTTCTTATTACTTATTAAATTGATGAGAGAAAGTGATAGCCTTAAAAATGGTTTATATTATGATTCCAATGGAAATAATAGGCAATGACGATCGATATCGAAAAAAAAAGTTCTATTAATTGACGTGTTGGTCACATCTATTGATGATGATCGTGCATGACAAAAGTAAAATTTATTGAAAAAGGTGATCACCAACGATAAGTTAGATTTACTGGCTTAAAATTAAATTTTATCTATTGAATGTAATAATAAAATTGTGCTTTCAGCTTTATATTCTCGTTCTACAATTAAATATCCAACAAATTCAGATTAGATAATGCAAACAAGACAAGGAATGGAAAAAGAAAAGAAGTAAAAGTTCAAATATATGTTATAGATTTATTTTTACTCATTTGTAATACAATTGGAAGAGCTCAAATAGGCAATTGTTTGAAAAGTTAAATTCGTCAGAATTCTGCACATAGTAAATGAACATCTCCTATTTCTGGTATATTATGATAAAAAAAATCATATAAAGGAGGGGAGGGGGGGCGTTAAGCAGACAAATCGGTCCCCTCATGAAAGCGCTTCTTTCCTATTCCAAATCGTCACATTCTACCTTCCAAACTCAAAAAACGTTTGAATCCAGTCTATCGGGCTTAGTTAGCCAAAACACAGGGTTAGAAATTCCTCCCCGTTCACTATACAGATTTTTAGCCATTTCTGCCGCCTGTGGCAAATGTAGACATTTGGATCCACTTTCGAGTCAAGCTAAACCGATACAACTTTTTGAGCTCTATAATTCTAGGTTACGAATGCCTAATGAAAAAAGTGGGAATTAGGGTCATATTAGGCGAAAACTGTGATTTTCCACCATTTTCCCTTGTTTCAGGCCTCTGTTCCAAACGTAGACATTTCGATCCACTTTCGAGTCAACTTAAACCGATACAAATTTTTGAGCTCTATAATTCTAGTTTAGGAATCCCTAGTGAAAAAAGTGGGTATCAGGGTCATATTGGATAAAAATTGCCCGAAAAGTGTGATTTTCAACATTTTACCTTGTTTCTGACTTCCGTGCCGAATGTGGACATTTGGATCCACTTTTGAGTCAAGCGAAACTGATACAATTTTTTGAGCTCTATAATTCTAGCTTATGAATTTCTAAAAAAAAATGGGTGTCATAGTCATATTGGACTAAAACTGGCAGAAGGTGATTAACTTTTCATTATTTTAAGTTGTTTCGGGCCATAGTGCTAAGTGTAGACGTTTGGATTCAGTTTGAAATCAAACCAAAACGGTACAACGTTTTGAGCTCTGCAATTGTGGCATAGGAATACCTAGGAAATGTTTGGGCGTGGTTTGCATTTTGTCTGTATGTACGCTTAGATGGCTATATGCTCCGCTACGAAGTGTTTAACCCATTTTGGCAGACGCATGACACTAGTTGCTGTCCCCGTATATGTTCAATAGAATCAAGAATCAGTCGGAAGTGCGAAAATGAAAGAATATTATGAGGCACGGGCCGATTCGAACACTCCGCTATTTCGCCTGTATTCATTAAGCTTGAAAATATCGTAACATCGAAGAAAGGGGGTATCGAATGACTTGTTCCATTCAAATAATGAGACTTTTTTCGAAAATGAAAATATCAACGCAACCCCAAGTATCACCCTTGTACTCTCAGCTCCTACCATAACGTCGTACTGACACAGAGTCTCAACCCAAGCTGCAAAGGAGATTGTTTATTGTATTACTTCCGTGCACTCAACGACTTCTGTTGACTCCGATCCATTCACGAGGGAGGAAAACCAGGGTTCCGCTGACTTGCACAGTCCGGGTGAACAGGCGAATTAACATGAGTCAGTGGAAGTCATTCCAGTTAGAAATCCACTTTTTTTGGCACTACTGCCAATAACTTCAAGTCATACCGGAATGTCTTCCATGGATGTCCAATGACTCGGGGTGACTCGAATTGACTATCGATAACTACTGACAACTTCTGATAATTGCCGTGAGTTCCAAGACTGGTGCATACAGGAAGACCCTGCTTACACTGTAAAAAAAA